TAGAGGCACTGTACTCAGGACTCACACAGTAATTGTAATTTTGCCTGTTCCCAACAGCCAGAATGCAAAACTTCATGAGGTAAGGGCATCATCTGTAGTACTAAGAAAGGTCTTTGGGAGGCTGAGGTGAGTGGATTGCCTGAGCCTGCGGGTTCGAGACCCACCTGGGCGGCGAGACCTCATCTCTACAATAAATCAAAAAATCAGCCAGGTGTGGTAGCGCGCTCCTGTAATTCCGGCTACTCGGAAGACTGAGGCGGCAGGATCGCTGGAGCCCAGCAGGTTGAGGCTGCGGTGGCCGGGAGCGGCCACTGCACTCCAGTCTGGGCGACAAAGTGAGACTCCAACTCTAAAAAAAAAGAAAAAAGAAAGGTCTTGCCTCTGATGAGAATAAACAGGTGAAACACAGTTCTGGCCCCACCAAGCACAGTTCTTATTATACCTAACAAAGTGTAAAAGTAAATAGAAGTTTTTTTCCAAGAAATTTTCCCCAAAAAATGGGGCTGAGTGCCACGGCTCATGCCTGTAATCCCAGCACTTCGGGAGGCCGAGGTAAGAGAACTGCTTGAGCCCAGTAGTCTGAGATCATCCCGGGCAGCATAGCAAGATATTGTCTCTACAAAAAATAAAAAAAATTAGCCAGACATGGTGGCACACATCTGTAGTCCCACCTACTTGAGAGGCTTAGACAGAAGGATTGCTTGAGCCCAAGAGGTCAAGGTTGAGTTGAGCCAGGATTGTGTCACTGCTCATCAGCATGGGTGACAGAGTGAGACTCTGTCCAAAAAAAGAAAGACATAAAGAAAGAAACTTTCTGGCCGGGCTCGGTGGCTCAGCCTGTAATCCCAGCACTTTGGGAGGCCAAGGTGAGTGGATTGTCTGAGCCCGCGGGTTCGAGACCCTCATGGGCAACTTGATGAGACCTCATCTCTACAACAAATCAAAAATTAGCTGGGTGTGGTAGTGCACGCTGTAGTTCCAGCTACTTGGAAGACTGAGGTGGAAGGATTGCTGGAGACCAGCACATCAAGGTTGCGGTGGCCGGGAGTAGCCACTGCACTCCAGTCTGGGTGAGACTCCAACTCAAAAAAAAAAAAGAAACTTTCTCCCCTCAAAATGTAACTGCATTACAGAATAAAGTTCAAGAATATTTAAAGGAATACAAAAATATCCAGCACCCAAAAAGGTAAAATTCACAACGTCTGACATGCATTTAAAAATCACCAGGTATGCAGACAAGCAAGAAAATACAACCAATAATGAAAAGATAATCAATTAATTTAAGGTAACCCAGAGATGACACAGGCAATTAGAATTCATAGACGAGAGCATTAAAACATCTGTTATAATTATGATCTGGAAGCTATAGGAAAGACAAGACATATTAAGTAAAGACACAGAAGATATACAAAAAATTGAAATCCAATTTAGGTGGATTAAAAACTATAATGTCTGAGATGGAAAATGTATGAAATGGAATTGACAACTGTTTAGATTTTGTAGGTGAAAAACCAGTAAACTTAAAGACATTGAACAGAATAGGAACTTTCTGAAATAAAATCACAAAAATGTCTGAAAATAAATGAACAGGAAAATAAATTCAATAAACCAATATATGTATAATTTGAGTTCCTGAAGTTATCCAAAACAATATTTAAGGAATAATAGCTATAAATATTCTAGGTTTGCTGAAAACTATGAACCCACAGATCTCAAGCACAAGAAACATGAAGAAAAATAAACCAATTCAGTATGAATAAATCATATTCAATATTCTTAAAACCAGTGACAAAATCTCAGAAACAGCCAGAGAAAAAAGAACAAAGATAAGAATGATAGATTTCCCATGAGAAATAATAACACATGTCAGAAGACAACCGTGCAGTATATTTGAGGCACTGAAAGAAATAATTGCCAACCTAGAATTCTTTATCTAGTGGAAATATCCTTAAAAGTCAAAAGTGAAATAAAAACATTTCAGACATACAAAAATTGGCAGTAAGTGAAAGTCATACTTTGTTTATAGGTCAGGAGAGAGCTCAATATTACTTAAAGTATCAATTCCAAATAAATTGCTGCATAGGTTCAACAAAATCCAATCAGAATCCCAGTAGGCACTTTTCTTAACATTGGTAAGCTGATTTTAAACTTCATATGGAAATGCAATATCCCACAAACTCCAGCATCTGAGCCTGGTTCTCCAAAGGCCCCCTCACTCCTTTCCCAGAAAGCCAGGGAGGTTCCCACGACTCTCACCACTTCCCACCCACAAGGCCACCCAATCCAGATGCAGTAGAGCAGCAGCGAGCAAGGCTGGCACATGAGGAACGCACACAAGGGGAGTCTTCTGTACCTGTCACGGCCTCTTTTCCCACCACACGAGGAACCCTGGCCAGAGAGCAGGACACCACTCTTGGGCAGAGCCATGCAAACCCAGTCAGCACCAAACTCTGCTTTTGTTCGAAGATTTTTAAAAGTCAACCTTCTTTTAAACAATTCAGAACATTTTCCCCCTTGGGAAGGGATGTGGCTGCTTTCCTGGTTGACCTGTGACATTTTAGAGGAAGTCTCTGAATCCATCCTCTAGAACAGGACCACCATGCATGTTAGGGAGTGGTTGGCAGTTCACTCAGGGAAAGCATGGATGGACTAAGACCTCAATATTAAAAAAATAATAATAATACCCAGCTTAAAATACTCTCCTAGACCTCATTTTAGTGGAGTCCCTGTCCATTCAGGGTCTTTCATAAATAAGTCCACAATTAATGACATGTGTTTAACGGCAAAGCCACTCACCTGTAAATACACAGCAGTTGATGGTGTCTCTGGGCATGGAGTTTATTTATGAGAATGAAAGGTCTGGCCTCATATAAAAATAGAGCAGCAGTACTCAACTAAATTTGCAACTGATCTCCCAGCAACCTCAGGTATAACCTATTTGGAAAAGAGTTCAACCCGAGGTGATCTAGAAACCCAACTTAGTGAGGGGCTTGTGACTATTCCTTTTAATGGAATGAACCTTCTCCCTTATGAGGCTCCTGTCGGGAGAAGCTGCATCACTTAGGACGCGGACCACGTCTTTTCAGGCAGTTTATGTAGCATTGTATCTAGAGTACCATCGTCTGTGACTATGCAGATCCAGGCGAACATACTGAAACCTTAGACAAGATCTCTTCACACCCCTGCTGGAAACTTGTCAGTTCTTTCCCGTTGCACTTAGAATGGAATCAAAATGCCTCAGTGAGCCCACCAACCCTGCCTGTGTCCAGGCACACCTTTTCTCTCAGACCCTCACAACCCCAAGACATTCCTGCTCCCAGTCTTGGACATCCCTTTCCTTTTTGTCCCTGTTCTTCTGGTGGTCAGTTCTTCTCATTCCCAGTCTTAGCTGCAGTGTCACCTCCAATGCCCTTCCCCTCTTGACTTCCTATCACTCTCCACCTGTTTAATGTTCACCGCACATGCCATAACTAAGCTGTTTCCTCTCTTGAAGTGTGAGTTCCCGAGGTCAGGAACCACGTTCACTCCACTCACTGTCTCACCTCAATGGCAAGTACAAGTTGTGTCCCTCACCCAAAATGCTAGGGACCAGGAGTGTTTGGGATTTTGTATTTTTTGAGTTTTGGATGTTCACATTCTGCCTAGGTTGAGCATCCCAAATTCTAACATCTGAAACCCAAAACTCTCCACAGAACATTTCCTCTGTGCAACATGTTGATGTTCAGTTTCAGATTCTGGAGTCTTTGGGATTTGGGGTTCTCAAAGGTAGGACGCTTAACACGTGCAGGTGCTGGTGTGTGGCAGGCACTCCAAAACTACAGTTCATTATTCCATGATTAAGGTGCAAATAGACTTCCAATCCATTCCTACCATGCTAGCACCCTGCCCCAAACACCAGAGCCCAATGCAAACATTCTTCCTCATTCTTATCTTCAGTCTTGCCCATTCATGAACCCGACTCCAAGCCTCCCACGTGTCAAAATTCAGAGCCTAGCCCTACCATGTGCCCAGAACCCAACGGGTGCTCAGTAGATGTGGCTGCCGCTTGTTATCACTGCAGCCACTTCTCCCATCTGTCCCACAGCTGTGAGACACCTTTACCACTGTCACAAGAATTTGCTTCCCTTTACCACCATCACAAGAATTTGCATGTCAGTGGCACCGTCTGTCCTATTTTTGATGTGAAATATTTTTATGTGACACAATGTCTTCCTTCTTAAATGAATGTATTATTATTTTTTAGAAAGCAGGATTTACTGAGAGGACAGAAAAGCTACCACAGTGGGAGGGGACCCGAAGGGGTTGTCCTTAAATGAATGTATTTTAAAGGTAAATTGAAAAGTCATTTCCCTGACCACTAAAGGGAGCAACTATAAAAATTAATATAATAAAAATAAAACAACATGCTATTCTCTTTTGTTTTCTTTTTTTACAGGGAGATTAGCAGCTGTTAGAGATAGGTCTAGACTATCACGAGTCTTTCTCTACAACACAATCAGGAGGACTGAAAATGTCTGAATTACTTCCTCACTCCTGCACCATTAGTACTTAAAGTCAGAGTTGTGTCCACCTGAAGTCACCCACACACATTTCAGGTCCTTCAATCATGCTGTATCATCACTGACACTCTTCACTTGGCGTTTATTACTATGTCCTATTTCTCTTCCTATCATCCATGGTACATCACCTTGTACAGGATATATGCTTAATGTGGTCTCAGTTGAATCTAATACTAAGAGTGTGGAACCAAACTTAATCAAAAGAGACTGTTCCTCCAGATATGGAAATGTTTTCAGAAGAGGCACATTGGGAGTGTGTGTTTCCTGTTCTGCTGCCCATCTGCTGCCCCATACGTATGCAGTCAACACCATCTCCTAGCCACCACAGTCACATGTCACAAGAGCCACTCAGAGGAGAGGCTAGGCTGAGAACCTGTTTCTTAGGTGCAAGACTACACCTGGTGCAAACCCTTCCATTTACAAGGCAAATAAAACCGGAAAAAAAACTGGATGTGTGATTTATTATGTTTAAGATTGGTTTATAAGGCTTAAATATGTCTGTCATAGTTAACAGCAAATGAATGCAACTTTACAAAATCATTGTTTCGATATAGTACAGGACTAAATGTGGCAACTGTGCATTGGAAAATTAATATTTCCTCAATGCAAATATCAAATCTGCAGCACCATTTAGAAGCTTCCACTAAAAATTTAAGCTGCAGTATGCAGTATAAGCTCTACTCAGAACATAAGACTACGTAAATCGAGCATTAAGAAAAACAGTGGGCCATTCAGGTATAATATGTCAGATTTGGTACAGGATTAAAATACTAACATTTTTTTAACATCCTGGTTTCAAATTAATAAATACAAAAACAATATAAAAATATACACCAGTTGATAAGACTGTACTGCAGATGACCAGATGGTTAAATCTCGCTCTCATACGTATGCAGGTATGTCTTAAGAGCCAGAATCTCCGAATAGTTGCGGCTGGTCTTCCGGAAAAAATCCAGGCTGGTGAGATGTTCGATGTCCCGCACACGAGCAGTATGCATTTTTATGAGTTCTTCCACCCATTTCGACTCGTCCTCTGAGTTCTGCAATGGAAATGGAACACAATCAGCATCAGAATTTTCCAGAGGGGGGTTCTCCACAAGTCAGCTTGCTCTGAGTCCACAAATGCCCTCTGAGTACTCCTGCACAAGATCCCATGCATGCTGTTCCTTCTTGGCCGCCCAGGAATGTGCCGCAAATACCTGCCCTAGGCTGTAAACATTTTCAACAGCAATTAGCTGCACCAAGTAAATGAGTCCTGTGGTGGGAGAGGGCATTGAACTCAATAGGTTCTCAGAACATAAATCAAAATGAGGAAAACCAAAGGCCCTGGAGAATTCAGCCATTTGCTTCTTTTCCCAGCTGTCAAATTGTAGCGTGACGCACACAAGCACAAGTCACTGGGAATGCTCTCCTTCCTTCCCAAGGGGAGGGCAGAACTTGAGGCTGATGCACAAAAGTGCATGTGTCCATGCCTCATTCTTCAAAAGAACCCACTGCATCAACTACACCATCTGTTAGAATGTGATAAATATATTTGGTGATGGGGTCAACAAGAAACCACTCCATTGATACAGCTGGCACTTTGGGGTCAAGAGGCCTAGCTGAAGACAAGTCTCAATCCTTTGTCAGCTGTGAGAACTTGGTCAAGCTATCTGACTTCTGGAGGCCTCAGTTTCCCCACTGGGTCACAAGGATAAACAATGCTTATTTCTGCAGCTCCTTGGGAGATAGGAAAAAGGAAAGGGAGGAGGAAGGGTAAGAGAGGTCGAGTAAGGAAACAACCTGCAAGAAAGGAAGGAAACTTCTTTCTGTCTTAGCTACTTGCCAAAAACTGCCTCACTGGCACAAGTTCAAGAAGAAAGATATTCAGATGTCCCACATCGAACAATTTATTTTGTGTCCTGCTTAACACTAAAAGGTCATTCAGTAAAGCAGTCCTTGGCATCTCAAAAGCATCTTCTTTCATTTTTGAGGGAAGTTAAGGGAAAGAATGGAACCCAAGAGCTCTGTGGGTTATGGAGGAGGGCACCCCCTCCATAGAAGACATGGGACGGAAGGGTCTGTGCAAATAGTGCTGTTCACAAATGCCCTGGAACCACAATGGCTCCCAAGTGTCTTTCTACAAATTGAAGAGTGGCCATGTGTCCCTGGCTGAGAATGTTCAGACGCACCCTCATTCAGTTCTTGACCACTAGTGGTCTCCATAAACTACTCACCAAAGGCCAAGAACCTGCAATAGGTTTTCTCGGAAAGCCCCAGCCCACAGACCTGGACAGGGAACTGCAGCAGTTTGAGCTGTTGTTAAATCTGCGCCACAAGGGTGTTGGCAGAACCGATGGCTGGCCATCCCAGGCAAAATGAAGGAAGAGGACAAAACTACTTTGCAGCCTGGGGATGTGGGGATTTTAACCTTCAGGTTCCCCCGCCTAACCAACCTAACCAAGGTCTCTGCCATTCACAGGAAAGACCCAAATATAACTCTACCCACAATGGCACTGACCAATCCTGTGACCTGTAATTAACGAAGTAGGAGGCCTTCTTCACATGGGTCAGGACCCCCTCAGAGTAAGCAGGGTAAGGATGAGGCTGTATTTGGGAAGAATTTTCATGTTCAGTTTGTTTGTTTGATGTTCCAGTGGTCAGTCAATCCAATGTTTCCATAGTAAATGCAGTCATTTGAGTGTGTGAATGGGTGAAAGGGTTTTCCTAATTTAAATGATGGAGAATGACCAGCTGGGATTATAAGAATTCTGAAGGAAAAAAAAATCTGTCTTTTGCCATTTCTTTTCTTGAGAAGTGGCTTGCCAGTTTCACAGGAGGGCATTCTCTTCCAGTTCTGCAATGGAACACCCGAGGACCCGCTCTCGGATCCATTGTTAAGAAACACAGGCTATGCGCCCATGAGAGAAATGCCTTCACCTTGATGGCTGGTGATCGCAGATGTATTTGCAATGAAAACTGTGGTTCAAGATGTAAAACTAATGCCATTCAAGCAAGAGTTCCTGTGCGCCAAGATAGGAAGGAGAGAAAAGTTTTAACAACACAGAACCTAGAATACCAATGCAAACAAAAGCACGACCCATGAACTGCTTCATGTCTTTCCCCAGGAGGATGCTGACTCCTCACCGGCTCTTGTCTCTGACTTTCTCCCAAGCAGGTCTCTGAATTCAAGCCCCAGCAGTTCTAAGGTAAACTTGAAAGTGAGGACAGGTTCTGTGTGAACAGGGGTTTCTTCAGTAAGAAGCACACTGGCCATGAACCCTGCAAGAAACATCCCCAAACACTGCCAGATTCAGGAACACGCAGGGAGAGGAGACCCGTGAGGACCCAGTGGCTTTTGTTTATAGGACGTAAAGCGTGGATTGACTAGAGAATATCCTTCACACTGAGACTGGAACAGTATTATTCAAACTCCCATCACTAAATTCCACTATTGATAGAACCTGAACATGTATTCCCTGGGAATCTAGGTGTAAATTCATATGAAACATCTTTGTAGTCTTTGCTTTATCGTAAAACTGAATGGAGATTTTAAATTTCACCCTATAATACATGTGTTTGATTTCTTTCACAAAAATTTTACCTCCAAGTTTTTAGTAAAACTGAATGTCAAGAATGTATATCATGCTGCCCAGAGGCATTTTATTCCAGCACTCCACTAGCTGCTCCTGTGGTCACAAGCAACACAACCAGGAGGGCCAGGTCATTAGTTGGTGAGTTTCCTGATTTCTCCACTCCCCTCTCCATCGTTTATCAAACTCCACTGATACTTCAAGTATGAGACTGCTGCCTTCCATCCTTTTCCATAAATTCCCAAGCCCACATGCCCAAGTCAGGCCCTCCCACCTTACTCCTGTGGGTTTTGTCAGAGCCCCAAGAGCTCAGGCTCACCTCCTCCCTTCACACAACTTCCCAATACAGAGCCCAAAGTGTGGCTCTTCTGATGGAAACTTTTTCTTGGCTATCTGATACCCGAGTGATAAGAGCAAGCCTTAAAGGGCCAAGCTTCTCCTATGGAAATCTGGTAAACTAGAAAGAGGATGGGCTTTTGGAGTCTGAGGTCTTGAGTCTAAAAACTGCTGTCCAACCAACTAACCAAGCGATCAAGCAACTTACTCTTCCCTATGAGCTGAAGGCTTCTCAACAGTTAATAGAAGACCAGGGACGAGACCACATATATATGTATACGCCTGTCTCATGACTGATCATATGATTAGAAACAATACCTGCAGAGGACCTATACAGGGCTTGGGTCATGGCACATACTCCATCTATGGTAACAACCACTGCTACTGCTGCTATAACTACCATGACCACTGCCATCGTTACTATTATGACTACTACTTTTTAAAAACTTGATTCCAAGCAGGTTTTAAAATCTTATCTCCCAATATTGCCCTCATTTCCAATATTCTAGCCAAACAATGAAATTTCCAGGCCATATTTCACATTTCTAATTTTTTGCATCCTCTGTTTTGCTTTGGTTACAGCCCAGTCTTTACCCACAGCTTAAGTGGGGACCAAAACCTGTTTCACCCTGAAGCTAGCCATCTCTGTTGAAGGCTTCCTACAGTCCTTTGTGTGCAATTTCCATCCATTCTACTTGCTGCCGTACACCACCAGCCGCCTAGGATGATGACCATTTCTAACACATTGTGTTTCTCCTAAAATACCTTGTATACTCCTAGAGTCTGAGTGGCACTTGTGAATTCAAAGCCTCCCTGTGGATCACTCCCTGTTCCTTCTATGACATAAAACAAAAGCAGGGACTGCCACTTCTAAACCAACCTTGGAACACAGACTTCCTGTCACATTAAGAAAACCTGACGATTTGATACAGTTTTTCCCTGAGTGCCAGCAAGCTCACAGCTTGGCTTCCATCTTCCCACCTAGGGCATCTTCATCACACCATCCCATCTCCCTGCTGCCTCCATGCAGGAAGAGTGAATCGGGATTTGAGAAAAGTGTGACTACAATAACTCCAGCGTAACTAGTAGCAGAAGAAAGCCTGATGAGTAGGCATATATGCTTCCCATTTGCTCTCAATCTCTGTGTGTGGGGGATGGGGGTATAAATTTTAAAAACTTTTATAACAGAAATTTTCAAACATCCACAAAACTAAAGAGAATAAACTCCCAGGACCTCTGTTCTAGTTTCAACAAATATGCAAATTTTGCCATATTCTATATTCTTTTTACAAAGTATGCATGCCTTTTGAAATACTAACTTGGATACTTTTATTATTTGTCAAAATTGAACATATAAATAGAAGTATGTTAAATGCACATACACTGAAAGATAAAAAGTCCTTAGGAAACCAAGTGCAGCATGTTAAGCTAAGCCCTATTTGGGACTGTTCTTCCTTCCACGTGGCTGAGTAGAGCAGCACTCCGTACCCGTGTGCTATGACTCAGGAGGAATGTAAGCTCATATATATTAATATAAAGATTAATCGCATGCTCATCCTCAGGGCTGTGCACACACATTGTTGGTTAGAACAGCGCTCTGTACACATGTGTTCTGGCTCAGGAGGGATGTGAGACCATATATATTAATATAAAGGTTGACTGCATGCCTGTCCTCAGGGCTGTGCACCCATGTTGCTGTTTAGAGCAACACTCTGTACCCATGTGCTCCAACTCGGGGGATATGAGATCATATATATTAATATAAAGGTTAACTGCATCCCTAACTCAGGGTTTTGCACCCATGTTGCTGTTTAGAGCAGCACTCTGTATCTGTGTGCTCTGGCTCAGAGGGCATATGAGATCATATGTATGAAGGTTAACTGATCCTGCCTCAGGGCTGTGCACTCACATTGCAGCTCTCATCATTGTCCGGCCGGTGTGGGAGGATGAAGGAGGACACAGACAGGGGGCCATCACACTTGTCGGCGGGCTGCGTGAAGTCCAGGCAGCTGGTGATGATGCTGTAGTAATGGGTAGGCACAGGAATGGCACTGCCCTCCACGTACCTGGAGCAGAAAGGGAAAACCAGTCACAACCTAGGCAGAAGCTTTCTTCTTGGAATAGTGATCTGGGAAAATTGCCCAAGTCACTAAAACTAAGTTCTACTCCATGGAATCATCTTTCCCATTGAGGTGCTAGCCCACGTCTACGTCTTGGACATAATGCTTGCTCTACCTGGAACCCCTTGCCCCCTCAATCTGGCAGAGTGGAAAGAATATTCCAGGCAGAGATAGCAAGCGGCTTGATCCAAGCCTTGGAGGCAGTTCATAGTCAGTAGATTCATGCAGTAAAAATGAAAGGCTGGAAAAGCCAACAAAAGCCAAGTCGGTTGGCTCTGAGGCCTGGGTATGGAGTTTGGTCATTATTGTTTGGGGAGTGAGCCTGCCCTGAATGGTTTTATACTAGGAGCTGTCATTTGTTATTTGATCCATGTTTCAGGAAGATAGCTTACACAGAATTGGAGAAAATGACCAGAAGCAGAAGATTAGGAGCAAGGAGAATCAGAGAACTGTCAAGCTGACAGGAGTCAGGAGAGACAGAACTCAGTACAAAGAACTCATCTGCTAAAGGAGGTACTAAGGACTGGGTACTGGTGGTGAGGGCAGAGTATTAAAACCTTTGCCTGTAGAGCAAAATTCAGAAGTTCACAATCACTGACCTGGCTTTCTGTTCTCTTAATTTTATCATTTTCCAAATATTGAAATTATGATTGAACTACTAACTTAATTTTGGATAAAAACTATAACAATGATCAGCAATAAAATAAATGTTCAATTAAGATAAAATTTCTGAATGCCTGGGAAAAGAGTAAGATAATTTCTATTTTGTTAGTTATCTGTATTGTAAAAATAGCATTTTATTCTGTAATTACCTGAAACCACAAACCCTCTCATATTCTGGGCTGTTCTAGATTGTTCTATGCATGTAAAAAATAAAATAACAATTTATCTTGAGCTGGTTGTAAGTATCCTCGTGCCTTCTCTACTTGACTGTGGGTTCCTACGTGCACAAAGAATGACTTATCCTTTTACATGCCCAAGAGCACCAGAGAGGGGGATAGAGACATTCAGATACAACCCAAGTCTAGATGCGCTTTTCTATTGACATGTTCTGACCTAGAAAAATATAAGGGGTTATAAAAATACCCCCAGACAACTGAGATAAGTGGAAATTATCATCCAAAGCTACCCCATGGAGATAAATGGAAATGATCATCTTCCCACTGAAGAGTTGTTTAAGAAAAAATGACAAAAAATTTTTAAATCTTTTGATTCTTTTTCCTTCATGATATGAAAAAGTGTACTTATTTACCACAAAACACAAAATTCCATCCAACCACCAATGCCACATTTAATCAAAAGAACTGAAGAATTCAAAAATAGTTTCAAAGAGAAAAAGACTTTAGGGGGATCAGCTCTCCTCTAGTTTGTATGTATTTGGAAAATGTTTTTGAGTGAGATCATGGAACTGGAGAACCACACACTGAGTAGAAATGAAAAGCTTACTGTTTTATTTTGTCCTCCGTGTCATGCAAGCCATCATAGTCATAGTCAAAAATGGGTCCACTTATCACATTAACTCCATTTCTCTCTGAAGCATATTTCTTCACCAGTACCCTCTGGAAGTAATTCCAGACCCCTGTGCAAAGACAAAAATCAATTCTTCATGAATAAATCTCCTTGCTTTGGCTAAATTCTCTCAAGGATGTATTCCACAGACCAACAACCCTCACAAGCCAAGGGACACCAGAGTCACTGGGATCCATAAGGAGGGCTCACTCTGAAGTATCACCTGTGTGTGTTGTTCATAAGCCAGCACCAAAAACGACTTGGTGGAAAGCCCAGCCTTGGCCAGGCAGCCAGGGAAGGACTCCAGAGGAGGAGGCTACTGAGCTAAGAGCTGGAGGAAGGGTAAGTAGGTGGCATTTCCCAGGCAAAATGGGGAAGGTAGGACACACCAGGCAGAGGAAACAGAATGTGTCAAAGAAAAAGAACAGTATTCCCGAACCACGAAAAATAAGACCTTGCTCTACCTTGTCCTCCTTCATGATCTCATTGGTATGCCAGCTTCCAATGCTGTGTCTTTAGACCTGACCTTTCCACGGGTCTCCAGACGTGTTGGCCAACCACCCATTTCATAAGCCCCTGGAATGCCTAAGAGTCACATCAAGCAAATCACATTCCAACAGAATTGGGCCTCTTGTGAGGAGCTGTTACTCCCTTGCAGTCCATGCTCCATATAGCAGCCAGGTGGATCTTTCCACACTACAAATCAGATTCCTCTGTCTCTCTCTCCCTCTTTCTTTCTCTCCCTCTGTGTCTTAAACACACACATACATAACACCCATACATTCCAGATGATTTTTCATTGTAACTTGAATGAAACCCCAAGCCCATGCCATGGCCTCTTCCTGCCTCTGTGACTTACCTTCCTCCCCTCCCCGCTCAGGTGGGAGGCCTTCTTCCTGTCTCCCAGACTTGTCAAACTCTTCCTTTTGCCTGAAAAACTTGTTCCCTTGTCTGTGTATGTCTAGTTTCTTCTCTACAATTCATTTCTCACTATTGGTGTCACCCCCTGTGAAGACTTGCTTGTCCCCTCTGGCTGCAATTCACACGAAGCCCAACCATAGGGCAAAGGACAAGCAGAATGGAAAAGGAAGAAGATAAAGATAGGAATGACAGAAGAAGGCAGGAAAGGCAGGCAGTGAGTGGTTCTGAAACACTGACTCTAGTCCACCACACTCATCTACATGGACCAAGAGATTCCGGCTGCTCCATATTGTCTCTCCCCTCACCAAGGAGTGCTTGGCCATCTCTCTCGTATCTACTGCTCTTTGAACTTTTTGATGCCCCACTTTGAATGAGAATGGCAGAGCAGCCCACAGGGGCAAAATGCCTCAGATGATGATTTGTAGTAAAGAAAGAAGCCAGACAGTGAGGATGGAGTTCAGATGCTGACTCAAGCATTTTAAAAAATGGAGATGAGCCGGGCTCGGTGGCTCAGCCTGTAATCCTGCACCTTGGGAGGCTGAGGTGAGTGGACTGCCTGAGCCCGCGGGTTCGAGATCCGCCTGGGCAACTTGGCGAGACCTCATCTCACAATAAATCAAAAA